GACAGCCCGACCCATCGCGGCTGCGCCGAGCCGCCCTGGCCAGAAGTAGTATCAACACCAGGCATGCATGAAATCATCCTTGATTAGTGCCATCTGGGACTTCGAAAGGGCCATGGAGCATTATGAGTAAGACCACCAGCCTTGTCTCCAACGCCCAGGAGTTCTTCGAGCCTATCGCGAACTTCAGGCGCGCCAACAAGCGCGCACGCGTGCGCGCACGTCGGGGCCACAAGCCACAACAGCTCTGGCGCCCAGGTCTGGCCATGGAAGATGGCCGAACGTCTTGCCAAGGGCACCGCGGACCTACGCCGGCGCCCGAGACGACCGCGCGCGGCGAATCATGTTCGCGCATGCGATGTCGACGCGGCAGCCTTCCCAACAGTGGCCTCAGGGGCCACAGGGCGAAATCAGGAGCGCCTAGGCAACGCAACGCGCGAGCGGGTTCGCCCATGCGCTCCCGAGACCCGGGCCCCTGACGGCATTTTCGCAGCGCCTTCTTCCACGGGGAGTGCCCTGGCTGCCGCGAGGGGAAGGAACGCGACCACCCTGCGCACGCACGCGGCTCCAGCAAGCGCGGGTTCGCGGGCCCTCACACGCGGCCGCGCCCCAGCGCCAGTCCGCGCCCGCGAGCACCGACCAGGTGGGCCACGCCATTCCAGCGATCAGCACGCACAACTACTCGGAGGAGCTGACCTCGGAGCAGCAGACGAAGCCGAACTACCGCCAGCACCTGCAGATACACCCAGAGCCAGCTCATCGCCCAGTGCCGGGGATCAGGGCAGTGGATCCAGCATCTTCGTCGCTGGCCCACGAACGCGAGCCAGCCCAGCAACCGGCACAACACCGAGACGCGCAGCGCCGCGAGCTTCCGACCCCACTGTGCGCAACCCCACGCCCGCAGGCTAGACTCGCGTTGATATCACCGCGCCACTGCGAGCATTACGCGGCGACCCGCACGAGACACGAACGCGAGAGCTATGCAAGCTACATCTCCGGCGGCGGCACGAGCACTGCGCGCAGCCCACGCGCCGCAGGCAATCCTGAGTTTTATCCCCACAGTGGCCAACAGCTGCAGGGAGCGCCGCAAGTGGCACCTGCCGCACGCCAAACCATTCCCACACGACATCCCACACGACACCTTTCGACGCGATTCAACCAGCACGTTGACTGCGGCATTTTTTTTAACAAGGATCTCATGAGACTGCGCTTGATCTGTTGCGTTTCACGGTAGCACAGCGGTCAGGAGATCACGGACAGATGCGACTCGACGATGCTGGCAGCAGTCGACAGATCATGCATCCAGCTACAAGGAGCACTGGAGACCTCCATCGTGGGCGGCGAAGGCGGGATGCTCTCCAAGCACTTCGCGGCAGAAATGAGGAGGAGCAGAGCCAAGGTGGACATCCGCGCCCCACGCGAGCACGCTCGCCCCATGGGAGACGGACGAGGAGCAGCTGCAGAGGGAAGGCATCGCCGCCCGCTTCGACTCCATGCTGTCCCACGCCATCTTCGCGGGCAACAGCCTCACCCGCGCGGGCGGCGCTGCGCCGCGTGACGTGTCTTTGGCCGGCAGCACTCCACGCTGCCACCGCTCGAAGCAGACGCGGGCGAGGGCGACGACGTCGCCGGAGCTGGGCCCGCAGCTGGCGGCGAGGTGCAAGCCAGCCGATTGCACGGGGGCGTCCGTAATATCGCCCTGCAGCGCATGATCGAGGCGACATAGACCGCCTGCATTACGCGCGCCTTCCGGACACGCGCCACAGAGACTGGAGAGGGACGCTTCAGCGTGGGCGGTTCGATGGAGATCCGCCAGCTCCCCAGCACGAACGCACCAGGTTGGGCGGTCCCTTCACTGTCCTTCCTGGACTCGGCCAGAGGCAAGATTACGGTCGAGTGCCGCAACGCCGAGATGGTCTGCAGACTGCAAGACGCACGGACCTTCATCGGCGCCGTCTTCGACGACATGGGCACTGGCACGGCGAGAGCAGGCCTGGCCTGGAATTCCGCGGAGGACCCACTAGAGCACGTCGCGCCAGGCTCCGGAGCCAGGACCTTCTGCCACTGGGAGGACGAGCAGGAAAAGCAGCTGACCGAGCAGGCTCGACAACGCCCTGATGTTTTCGACGCTCTGCGCCACTTGCCCCGCAGATGCTTCTACTACATGACGTTCGTGCCGCACGTCTCGCGCGCTGTCAGAAATATGCGCGCAATTGGCCGGGCTGCAACCGCATGGTCATCTGGCGGCCCCTTCGGAACCCAAGCGACGTCCGCCATTTGCATTTAGACGGCGCCAGGTTGGACGCCCACAGTCTCATCGGCGAGCAGTGGAAGGGCGCTCGCGTCATCCAGTTTGTTTTGGGCCAGAGCGGGACGTTCGATGACTATGTCATCGCTGTTCCTGAGGACGCCGCACCAGCCCTGTCGGCGATCTTCGAGGAGGCCGACAGCGATTTCTCTGGCCACATCCAACAGGCAATGCCCACAGCGACTGGAGTTGGTGAGCCCCGACAGCCAGTAGATGGCCCAAGATGCTGTCGAGCACACGGCCGCCAGCGCAGGTCGCAGGCCGGGCGAGTGGCCCCAGCGCCTGGGGCATCAGCGCCAGCGCCAGCACATCCACGCGCAGCGTCACTACTACCTGCGCGGCGCCACCTCAGACGAGCACGCCAAGCTCGAGGAGAAGGATGAAAGAGGAAAGCGCGCGGAGTTATACTTGGACCCAGGAGCGCAGAAGCATATCTGAGCTGCCGCGAGGGCAACTACGATGCCTGCGGGCCCACCACAGCCGCGCTCAAGGTCCTAAGGTCTATGCCGCCACCGAGACCGCGGCAAGCAAGCGCGACGCGGGTGGCCGCCGCCGTCTTCGAGGAGCTAAGCTCACCATCTGGGCCCAGCACAAGTGCTTCGAGCGACGCCCTCTCGAAGGCGCCTGGAACGCCGCGGACTCCGATCGGACAGCGAGACCGCCAGGATCACCCCGCGCCGCATAGCGTGGAGGAGCTTCCGCGACACGGACGCCAGAGCCCAGTGGACGTGCGCCGGCACGGCGAAGCGGGCGTCTCAGCACATTTTATTTTGTCCGCAGAGGCGGCTCGTCGCCCAGACCGGGCGCGCGTCGCCGTGGACGTCGACCGAGCGCACCGAGATGCCGAGATGCATGAGCAGGGCGGAGCACCATGAGAGGCGAGCTTCACCTTGCCGCCTGGCAACGCTGGCATTCTCAGGCCGGCCCCAAGCCGCGAGCGAGTCCTTCGACGAGCGGACCGAGCGCCTGCGCTGCGTGAAACTCGGCACGGGTTGCAAGGATGCGCCCACGCAGGGCATCCTCCACGAAGCTTGCCATGGTCACGCACTCGCCCGAGCGCAACGCCAAACCGGCGCGGCGGGGCCCTGAGCTCGAGGTCAAGCACGAGGCGCCTTGCACCTGCAGCGCCGGCGGCTCAGCGTTTGCGCTCATGCTGTCCACGCACGTTGACGACTTGAAGACCGCTGTGCACAAGCAGCACGCCGACCGGCAGATCGGCCACATCGAGAGCGTATTCGGCAAAAGGGCGATTGCGACGACCTTCCCATTTACGGCGCCCACCAACACCGCAGCGCCGACGGCGCAGTGGGGCTCGATCAAAACGAGTACATCGACGCGCCCATCTTTATCAGGCACGTCGACCTGGCCAGAGCGAGGGCCGACGGGCCAGCAGGGGGTCCACTTCCAGACCTCTTCGTCTCATTCGGAGCGACCGCCTACGCGCTGCTCGCGCAGCGCCGCGTCGCCGCCTGCCTCGTCGCATGCGTGGAGCCGCATGCGTGCGCGCGGGTGAGTGCCGCGAGCCGATCGCAGAATCTCGCGCGTAGATCATCGTTCGGCGCTGAGCTGGTCGCAGCGCGTGGAGCGGGAGACGGCCCGCAGGCGCGCCTCCTTACGCCACTCGATTTTCACGAGGTGGTGCGCGGACCCGTCGCAGCAGATGACACCAGGAGGCCGAGGAAGGAAGGGGTCCACGCCACGCTGTGCCAGCCGAGCTGGTCGCGGTCGGCATGGCCGCCATTGGAGAATAGCATGGGTGGCCACCTATGGTGGCTAGCAGAACCAGCCGCGCACCAGACAGCTATCCGACATGCCGTGGTGCGACGCCCGCGACACGAGGGCCGACGCCATGTTAAAGGGGAGTATCGTCCGGGAGCTCATCCTCGACATAATAGAGGGGGAGCTCGCTCACGAACAACTCACAATGAGGTTGAGCGAGGAGCGGCACAGTAAGACTGTGCCGAGCTCCAGCTCTAGTTACTTCGACAGGGACAACGACGACGCCACTGGGCAACCCACTCGGCGTCGCACGTCCGAGCTGCGTTCGCGAATGTAACATTCACGTCAGGGAGAGGAGTACACGCGTATCCGCATGTCGCAACTATGTTGGCGAATACGACGTGGCGAATCATTTCAGTGAGGATTGCAACATGGTGTTCGTGGAACAGCAGGCCGGTGCACCTTGAGCAAACGAACAATATATGATGTGTCCCACGAGTAGCATCTTGCCAGCCCTTCTGTTCTCTCGCGACTGCAGTTTTTATGAGTCAACGAGGGGCCTACTCAGCATAATGCCATCCACGCAATGCAACTTTGTATGAGAGGGGGGGCTAGTAAAACTCATGCCTTGCCCTGTTCAGTGCCATAACTAACTGTTCAGTTTGTCCATGGTGTCATATTAATGGGCTGGCCGGTTAGCGCCCGGATTGCCAACGAGGCACGACGGATTTGTTTGAACACCAGATTCGAACGGTAGGTTACCTCGATAGCGCATGTGAAGCATATGTCAGCAACACAGCAGTAATGGACGGGTGCGGGCGGGCTTCTTCCCTTGCGGCCATTTGGGTTCAAGGTATGCCTCCCGCGCCCGCTAGAACACTCGCTGCACGCCGCTTTACACGCCACTGGAAAGATTTGCTGTTCACCGTCCGCCTTACATTTCTGGTCTTGGTTCCGCCGGCCCCGCGCCCCGCAGCCCGCACGACGCGAGCATCCACAGCTGCCCGGACGTGGCCGCGCAGGACGAGCCGGCGGAGGCGCCGGCCCGGGGCGCGGCCGCTGTCGGGAGACCGTGCCCGTCGGGAGCGGCCCCTGGGGGCGCCAGCTGCGGTTTTGACGGGAGGGTGTGCGTTCAATCAACCCAGACATGTTCGCGTCGTGGAAGAATCAGGGCGGGGCGTTTGTCGCAACGGTTTGCATTTTGGGGGTCCTCGCCAGGCCCCGGGACAACAACATCGACTCGGGATGAAAAACTGGCCCTGGAGAAAGGGCCTGGAATTCCGGGGATCGCGTATCGAAAAGAACAGGACATCGCATGTTTGGGAAGGTCGGTTGTTGCTTGAAGTGCCCCTGGCCCAACGTGCCCCCAGGATGTCCAAGGAGGCCCCCGTGGCACCATGGCCCCCACTGCACTTGCCACGAGGCCTAGAGGGCCCCAGGAGCTCCACCATTGAGCGAGACAGGGGCCCCACTGGCCAGAGACAGCCTTAGCAACCTCCGACAAGATGGCCGTCCAGAGACCCACGGAGGCTGAGCCAGTCGTCGGACGTCCAGGAAGTTGGAATTCCTGCTCGGCTTGGTCGTTTGGACTGGTGAGCTGTCTTTCTCCGTGTTGCCCTCAGGCGGTGGCCCCGAGAAGGCGGCGACGCCATGGGCGATGCCGACCGGGCCCACCTCGTCCTTTTCGGCATCCCCCAGTGGACGAAGAGCGTGCAAAGTGATTTGTTCCACCAGCGGGGAAGGTTGCCCCAGGATGGCTGGAAAGCGCATACCCCTGCAATGGCTTTTCGGGGTATAATTTCCTGGCCGCCCTGGGGAAGGCGCCCCCCAACAGGCGGAAAGTTCACGCCATACCATCCTCAGTCTTTTGATTATTGCTGCCCCCGCCTCCTTCTGTTCATTCTCCTGCCTCCCCGCCCCCATCCTACCCCTCGTTCCCCCTTCTCTCCCCCTGCTAATCCTACCGTAGCCGCTCCTCCTGCTTCCCCTGCTGCCTTTCCTCTGATCATGCGCGGCCCTCCCTGGCCCCTGCCTTAATCTCCCCGTCACCGTCCACCTCCTGACATGTTGCCGAGGTTGCTGATCCTCCTCTTCCTCATCCTCCTCCAGCCGCCCGACGACGCTGACGCTGGCGGTCGATGTGGTCAAACCCAGACCAGCAGCTTCTTCTCCGCCTAAGTCTCACATTCTTCCCGTCTGACTTGTGCCGCCGCCCAGAGGTTTTGTTGCCGGTGGTGGGTTAGAGACGTGCCGAATTGCAAGCATTTCTCCTCTTCCTGTTCCTCTTCCTCCTCCTCCTCCTCCTCCTCCTCCTCCTCTTCTCTTCCTCCTCCGTCTCATCATCATCAGCAGCAGCAGTAGCATCAGCAGCAGCATTAATTTCATCATCAACATCATCAGCATCATCGTCATCGTCATCGTCGTCATCATCATCATCATCATCATCATCACCACCACCACCACCATCACCATCACCATCACCATCATCAGCATCATTCTCATCAGCATCATCGTCAGCAGCAGCATCATCTTCATCATAATCCTCCCCTTTTCTGTGCCTCAGGAATGTCGTAGAAGATGTTACCCTAGCTGCCCGCACCCAAGTTGCCTCTCAACTGGCAGGCGGTGTTGAGTCTTTGTTTGAGTCGTTCGAGCTGTTGCAGTTGTCTGTTGAGTTTAGAAGTGCGCCTTCCTGTGCACCAAGGAGAGTGAGAAGCACCGCAGCCAGCTGTGGAGCCCCCCCTTCTCCTGTAGAACAGGCACCGCCCGAAAGTTTGGGACGAACGCCACTCGGAAGGCTCCGTCAGGTCGGGATCCAGAATGCTCGCCTTGCTTCGGGTACGTCCAGGGCCCGCAGGCTGACGATTTGCAGGGTGCTGGAGCTGATGTATCAATGGTCCACAGCTCTGTGGCCCGAATGTCTCTGCCTGCCATCGCTCGGACGTGTGCATTGTTCTCGGCGAGAACCATCGAGGACCATCCTGGACCATCGAGCAAAAAAAACACGCACGAAACCGAAAAATACACGGGAAATGGACGTCCGAGCGACGGCAAGTTTGGGGTGGCCCTTCCAAGATGGTTGGCCTGCGTGCCACGATTGAGAGTTCCCTCGGCAGGCTCCCCAAAGGTGCCTCGGTAGGCCTCCGCATGTACACCTACGGGCTCGGGTTCAGGGTCGACCCCTTCGTGGTCGATGCCGGTCACGTGCTGGTCATGTGGGCCACAGCTGGTTGGGAGGGAGTCCCCAGCATGCAGATCTTGGCAAGCACCATGCAGCATTCGCAAGGGACGTTCCAGGGCACCTTACATCCTTGGAGCCTGGCGCCTTCCCCATCGGATGTTGCACTTCTCGCTCGTTGAGGCGTAGGGCGCGGTTTTCGAGATCACTACCATGTCGTGACAGAGAGGGCCGAGTATAACTTGATGCAGCTCTCAACAATGCAGGTCAGGGCTTTAATCCGTCAGCGAGCCACTCGGGCTTTGGACGGGCACGCTCTCTTCCTTCAGAACGGACAAGATGGGCCACCAGTGTACACGATCTTTTGGGATGTGGTCGGGCGTATGTTCCAGCCAAGGAGTGCGACATGGTCGAAGCACCACCAGAGGTGTTTGAGGGGACTTCTACCAGGAGTCCATTGGTCGCAAGCCCGCTTGTTCGCACACGGCATACACGGAGAGGAGGTGTGTCAGCTATGTCGTGCAGCTCCAGGTTTGTTGTGGCATCGCCACTATCAGTGTCTTGCTCATGCTGCGCTTCGACGGGAGCGGGCAGGTGAGAGACTCCGTGAGTGTGCCAGGAAAGTGAAGACGCACGGCCCCCTGGTGGCTGCAAGGTTTGCTAGACCTAGTTCCCCAGTCTTCGGAGCTTGCTTTCCAAGGAGGAGCCCTCCAAAACCGCCCACTGGTTTCAGCGTCCTGACACTGGATTCCTGTCTGGAGTGTTCTTCCTGGACGGTTCGGCGAAGTTCATGGGCCCCGATGGGCACGCCGGGGGCCCACGAGGGCCTCACCCTCGCCGAGCGCGGGGTGTTGGCTCGGACGCTGGAGGAGGATGGTCGGGCCCCCGAACGTGCTTCGGGTCCCAGATCTCCTGGGGCCACGCAGGGCTTCGCTTCCTCCTCCTCCTCCTTCTCCTCCTCCTTCTCCTCCTTCTCCTCCTCCTCCGCCTCCTCCTCCTCCGCCTCCTCCTCCTTCCTGTTCGTCCTCCCCCCTCGCTGTAATCAGCCACTCCTCACCTGCCCGCCGCCCCCCCCCCCCCGGGCCGCCCCTCTGACGCGCGGGAGAGCAGGATCTCACCGGGCAGCTCTGAGGGCCGCACCGGGCACCGCGCTCCCCGGCCCCGGGAATGCCGGCGAGGGATTCGCGACTTTCCGATCGGGACGATCGCAATGGGTACTATGGCATCGCTCGGACGTGTGCATTTTTTCTCAGCGAGAACCATCGAGGACCATCCTGGACCATCGAGCAAAAAAAAAACGCACGAAACCGAAAAATACACGGGAAATGGACGTCCGAGCGACGGCAAGGTACGGAAATAAGGGATGCAGAGTCCAACAGCAGTCCTTGTCCATTTGGACAGGACTCGCAGTCCGCGCCGCCGCGGAAAATTCGTCCACTTGAGACACCAGTCCGCCTGCCCAACAGCGGCCGCTGTCGGTGTTGGGAAACATCTGTTCTTGGGCGTCGTGCCCGATGTTTCCGTGCCCAGTTGGGGTGTCCAAACCGGAATGCCGGCAAGGGTTTCGAGGTTTGCCGAGGGTGCGGACCCATATTTCGAGCGCAATTTCTCACAAAGGAGAGAAGAAGAGCAGCGCTCCTGAGCCTGGACGCACAGAGCTTCCAGCCTTCGAGCCGTCAAGCTGTGGACGGGGCCACTCAGTTGACATGGATTTCCAGGAGAAGAAATCCAGGCCTCCCAGATGGGGTGGGAGTAGATGGGGTCCGAGGATCGCTCCGCATCGCCAATGCATCGGCGATGCGGCTCGATGCGGAGCCCGATTTGCTCCACGTCGACGTCGCCGATGCATCGCCGACGCCGACGATGCATCGCCCATGCATCGCCGATGCATCGTCGATGCATCGCCGATGTATCGGCGATGCGGCGCGATCCTCCGACCCCATCCACTCCGACCCCATCTGGGAGGCCTCGCAGAAAGCACAAGCCAAAGCGAGCTTGCCGCACAGCGTGCACGACACGTGTGGACCTCCGAGCCGCCCTTGTCCCGGGCTCCCGGAGGCCGCCCCGGGCCCCCTTGGGGCCCACGTGCAGGGCACGGCCCCCCGCGGCGCGAGGATCGCGGGAACGGTGGGGCTCGGGGGATCTGCAGGAGGAGGAGGAGGAGAATAGGAGGAGGAATAGGAGGAGGAGGAGGAGGAGGAGGAGGAGGAGGAGGAGGAGCTTGGGGTGCTCAAACAGGGAGGGTCGAGGAACAACAAGGGTCACTGACGTCATAGCCAGGATCCAGCATCACCGAGCAGCACTGTTCAGGCAGGGTGATTCGTCAGCGTGGTCGCGCGTGCTCCTGCTCCTGATCCTCCTGATCCGTCTGCGCCTTCGGGGTCGTCGTCGAGCTTTTCATCATCGCCGTCGTCCTACCCCTCATCCGCATCCACGTCGGTCTCCTTCTCGCCATCGTCTTCACCCCTTCCACTACACCTCCTCATCATCCCCTCCTCCCTTCATCCCACTCCTCGTCATCCTCCTCATCCTGATCCTCCAGGTCCTCCTCCTCCTCCTCCTCCCGGTTCCATACATTATCATATAACTTCTCCTTCGCTCCCCTTCTCATGCGAATCACCCGCCTGGTGCCATTCCTCCTCGACGATTCCCTCCCAATATTCGTCCTCATCCGCGACCTCCTCATCGCACTCCTCTTCTTGTTCCTCCTCCTGGTCCTGCTCCTGGTCGCCGTGCTCCCTGTTTCCTTGTACTCCACCTGTTCCGCGTCCTCCTCTTCGCAGTGCTCCTCTTCCTCATCCTGCTCCTGCTCCTCCATACCCTCCTCCTCGCAATGCTCATCCTCCTCCTCGTCCTCCCCCTCCCCCTCCCCCTCCTCGTCCTCCCCGTCACGGTCCTACTCCGTCTCCGCTTCGTCCCTCCTCTTCTCCGCTTCCTCCGCCGTGCCAGGGATGCCTTCGCACCCCAGATGCCCCTTACAGAAAAGCAGACTCATCACGGATGTCCTCAGGCAAGTAAATCGGGCCTGGCCCCGTCTTCGGGGGCGGCAAAGAGGGGGGTGATGACTAGGGGGGGGGGGATCTCATGGCGGGGGCCATGATATCTCCCCTGATTTCATGGCGCCTCTTCTTATCTCATTACGTTCCCGGCCCCCCCGCTGGGCCGCGCACATGCCGCCGGCTATGATTTGCACCCCCTCTCTTGGACACCCCCCTCTTGGCCGCTCCCGATTCGCGGCTTGCCGATCGGGACGATCGCAATGGGTGCGGAAATAATGGATGCAGATTCCAACAGCAGTCCCTGTTCATTGTGAGCAGGACTCGCAGTCCGCCCCCCCCCCCCCCCCCCGGGCCGCGCACATGCCGCCGGCCATGATTTGCACCCCCCCTCTTGGACGCCCCCCTCTTGGCCGCTCCCGACGTCTCCCACGCCCACGATTGATGCCTCTTTCCCCCCCTCTCCTGCCCCCGCCCCGCCTCCTCCCTGCCCCCGGCGCCGGGGCACCTCCGCGATTTCGGCTCGAGCGCGGCTACCCCCGCAGAAACCTTGGGCGTCTGGCGACAGGGATCGCGCTCGCGCGGCAGCGCTTGGCTACCTCCTCCGGGCCCGGGGCGCCCAGACCCTTCTTTGCGCACAGTTCGACGACAGAAGAAGAAGAAGAAGCAAAAGAGGCCTCTGGCCTTTCTGCTCACCCTCCTTCTCCTCCTCCTTCCTCCTCCTCCTCCTCCTCCTCCTCCTCTTCATCCTCCTCCTCCTCCTTCCTCCTTCCTTCCTTCTCCTCCTCCTCCTCCTCCTCCTCCTCCTCTTCCTCCTCCTCCTCCTCCTCCTCCTCCTCCTCCCCCCCTCCCTCCGCCCTCCGCCCTCCTCCCTCCTCCCTCCTCCCTCTCGGAGCCCCGAGTTTCGAGGATGCGTCAGGGGAAGCTTGCCAGACCACCTCGCGCGCAGCATCTCCGAGCTCCGACTTGCGAGAACGTCTGTGGCGAAGTGGGCCAGACCTACGCAGACGAGAACTGCACATCACTTCCAATAATAAAAAAATCAGCAACGAAAACAAGATCGGCATTCTAGACATCGCCTCCGACCATCCAGCGGCACCCTCAGACGACGCATGCGGCCTCTGGAAAGCCTTGGCGATCTGAAACACGAGCAAGGCGAGCCCTCCCCGCGACGGCGCCCCCGAGGCACACAACAGAGGCAGAAGAAAATCACAGAAGAAGCTGGTGCATACTCGTAACCTGTCAAAACGCCGGCTCGACGTATACAGCAGCGAGCCACCTTATCTTGGCCACGCTGTTGGGGGTCAGAATGGAAACATGACAAGAATGAATGAGCCATGCATTGCCAGATCTGGGTATGAAGGATCCTGGCGATCGTGCATATCTTCCCTCTTCCGAAGACCACCTCGCGCACAATTCCTCGGAGACCAGAATTGCGAGGATGCCTTATGCGAAGCAGGCAGGACCACCTCTCGAACCCCATCTCGGAGACCAGAGTTGCGAGGATGTCTCAGGCGAAACGGGCTGGACCACATCGCGCGCGACATCTGGGAGCTCAGAGTTGCGAGGATGTCTCCGGCGGCGCCCAGACCCCTCCCAGAACACAATTCGACAGCAGAAGTGTCATCAAATGGTTCGATTGGGTCTGACCTTCCTCCCTCCTCCCTCGCGGAGCCTAGAGTTTCGAGGATATCGTATGCAAAACGCGCCAGGCCAATGCGCACGCAGCATTTCGTAGCGCAGAAAGGCGAGGATGTCTCAGGCGAAACGCGCCGGACCACCACGCGTGCGGCGTCTTGGCGCCCAGAGTTGCGAGGTTGTCTCAGGCGAAACGGGACCACCTCTCGCGCGGTCTTGGAGCCCAGAGTTGCGAGGATGTCTCAGGCAAACCGCGCCAGAAGACATCGCGCGAGGCATTTTGGTGCCGAGAGTTGCGAGGTTGTCCGCGGCGAAACGGGCCCGACCACTTCGCGCGCAGTATCATGGAGCCAAGAGTTGCGAGGATGTCTCAGGCGAAACGGGCCAGACCACCTCGCGCGCGGCGTCTTGGAGCCCAGACGTGAGTATGTCTCAAGCGAAACGGGCTGGACCACCACCTCGCGCGGAGCATCTCGCAGACCATAGTTGCGAGGAAGTCTCAGGCGGAATTGGCTCCTGGGAGCTCATAGTTAAGAGGATGGGTCAAGCGAAACGGGCCAGATCATCTCGCGCGCGGCACCTCGGAGCCCAGAGTTGCGAAGATGTCTCACGCCAAACGCGCTGGACCACCTCTGGCGCGGCATGCGAGGATGGACCAGACGGCGCCCAGACCCTCCCAGAACATAATTCGAGAACAGAAGTATAATCAAATGGTTCGTTTGTGTCTGACCTCTCGCAGCCCAGAGTTTCGAGGATGTCGTATGCGAAATGCGCCAGGCCAATGCGCGCAGCATGTCGGAGCCCAGAGTTACGAGGGAGGATGTTTCAGGCGAAACGGGCCTGACCACCTCGCGCGCAGCATCCTGGAGCTCAGAATTGCAACGATGTCTCAGGCGAAACAGGCCAGACCACCTCTTGCGCGGCATGCGAACGTCGTCAGACCCTTCCCAGAGCACTATTCGATAAGAAAAGTGTAATGACATTGTTTGTTTGGGTGTGACCCCTCCTCCCTCCTCCCTCTCGCAGCCCAGAGTTTCGAGGATGTCTCAGGCGAAACGCGCCAGACCACCTCGCGCGCGGCATCCTGGAGCCCAGAGTTGCGAGGATGTCTCAGGCGAAGCGCGCCAGGCCACCTCGCGCACATCTTCTCAGAGCCTAGAGGTGCAAGGATGTCTGCCTCGAAACGCGCCGACCCCCCTCTCGCGCAGCATCCTGGAGGCAGAGTGGCGAGGATGCCTCAGGCGAAACGCGCGGGACCTCTTCGCGCTCGGCCTCTCGGAGACCAGAGTTGCGAGGATGTCTCGGGCGAAACGCGCCGGACCACCTCGCGCGCGGCCTCTCGGAGCTCAGAACTGCAATGATGTCTCCCGAGGTCAGAGCTGCGAGGATGTCTCGGGCGAAGCGCGCCAGACCACCTCTCGCGCGGCATCCCTGAGCCTAGAGTTCCGAGGACGTCTCGCGCGAAACGGGCTGGACCACCTCGCGAGCGGCGGCTCC